GATCCCCTAGTCGGTCCCTGACAGAAACCCCAAGAGACCAGGACTGAGCCTTTCAACAGAAGATGAGAGCCAGTGAAACACAGGAAAACTGGTCGACATATATGACCACGCGCCTGCCTTTGCTGGACCGGTCCGCCAGGCAGTGGCTTTGGACGAGAAGTTTATGTCTGCAGAAGTGCGACAGGTGAGATTTCTCTGGACTGTGATCGGTGCATTTTTTTTTTGCACGGAGGGTCTTGCCTTCCATCATTTCCAGTCCACGAGAAATTCACCACGCAGCACGAACCCCAAACAGCGTAGCCCACAAAGCTTGGCATGGTTTGCTTGACTTGATGAAGTAGTTTCCCTAAATAGGGGGACCCCAAGATACCATGATCTTTCTTGTGGGAATCCCCCAAAAGGGGTACCCCTATTTCTGGGAAACTACCATGTGCAAGGCTGGTACTAGCTGCGGTCGTCGCAAGCTGGGCCTGGAGGGAAGCCCAGGCTGAGCTTGTCATTGCATACGGAGGTCAGGGGACAAAGTAAAACGGTATAAAACAAGGGGTTATTATGTAGGGATATATGGGTATTGTCAAATAATTGATGTTAGGGGTCATTTTTGGCGCCTCGAAGCCTCCGTCCTCGTAACTGTCGTCACTTTTGGCCCGTCATGCTTTCGTCGTGAGGATCGGACTGTCGCCACTTTTGGCCCCTTATGTTTTTTCCGCGCTTCAATAAGCCTTTTACAGAACCATGACTCTATGAACACTATAAATGCCATATATTCCCTCTATGAACCTAATGTAAACAACAAGACCCAAACCATAAGCCACAGGGGGCGGTGGGGGTAATAGGTTCTGAATCCTCTGCAAAGAGTGCAAACGCTCTCTAACTCAGACCACAGGCCACAGGACCACAGGGGGGGGGTGGTGTTATGATTTAATCCTGGCTTAGAGCATAGAAGAGACACAGACCACACGCCACAGGACCACAGGGGAGGGGGGTTGGGGGGGTCATAGTTTCATCCTGGTTTATTGGTTTATAGTTTAGAAGATCGCCACCATACCAGAGCCGGGGGGGGGGGGCTCCGGAATATAATCTGGAGTTATGACCAGGAAGTATTTGGGGTTGCGGGATCTGAATTTGTCGGCGAAAGTCCCTGATTGCATGGAGCAATTTGTCCCTAAGACTTTCGTGTAGGGGGTTTGGCAGGGTTTGGGCCTTCAAAGGTTCTTGTCGTGCCCGCGATGTGTCTGCAAACGTTTTCATCGTGAAGCACTTGGCCTAGAGAATCTGCGCTCAAGGTAATTATGTTTTGGTGGATGCTGTGCGTTTTTTGTTGATTTTTGTGGCTCCGGCTCAGGTGGTTCATAGAGATTGGGGTTCTGCGGCTGCTGGCTTTATATATGGAACAGGTGACCTTCAGGTTTCATGCGCCAGAGCTGCTCACATGTTCCTGTATTGCTGCGTGACAGCACAGGGTGGCAGGGTTTGACCCCCCGACATATCCTGAGATATTTGTGCATGCGAAGAGCGAGCCCTGACAAGCTGAATCAGGATGATCTCATCTCACAAAGTGCCAAGCCCAAATCTTTCGCAAGTCTCCTCGGAAAGGAGCCGTGGGAGAAGTTTGTCTCGCTATGCTGCCTGGCGATTCTGCTTGACAGGTAGACGGCCAGGAAGCCCGGATCAACTTCGGAACCCATACAGGTTCTGGATTGAACCTTTCATGAGCCAGTTGTCAGCAGTGATGTCGCTGCACAGCAGACCTGGTGCTGCATGTATTTGTTTTGCTGTATAAGGGTGGTGCCCCATAACTTCCAAGCAGCTGCTTGTCAGCAAGTTAACCTGATCAAGAACGCTCCTGAAAAGCACATGCCACCTTTGCGGACCCCTCAGTCAACCCTAAATGAGTCCTCTTATCTTGTTTTTCTATAGTTGGTGCTCATATTGATCTTGTAAAAAGGAAGATCAAAATCGGAAGGACAATGAACACTAATGATGATTGCAGTGAACCTCCTAAGCCCTCTAAGCCCCAGGCTATCAGCATGCGGATTCCTTAGCTGGCCCTGGCTTGGCCTACGAAGCCCGCAGCTGGGAGGCAACAGCTTGGCAAGTCCGCTGCATGTGGTAATCCTTGAGCTAAGCACGTTCTACTAAAGCCATGGCATGTTAGGAACAAATTGAGGGAACAGCCAGGTAAGTGCAGGTACTTCCCCACAGTGGTCTAGCAATTTTGTTGCTGACTTCGTGGGCATTTTTGTGGTCAGTGCATACCTTGCCCTAAGGCTTGTAGCAGGGATGCCCGCCTTTTCAGTGGGAGACCAGCAACAAACACATTCTGTACTCAATGAGCAGCATGTGGTATGAAGATGTGCGCCAGTGGTCCAAAGCTTGCTGTGATTCTTGCCACCTCTGTCCTGCTCCCAAACTGTGCACCCAGAGAAGGCCACAAATGCGCGTGTTGGGCGGCTTCCGTAAAGCCCTTGAAAGGTTGTCAATCGAAGTACTTTCCATGTTATTTTCCATTGTCCCTATATAACCCTGCATAACCCCACATGAAAGCGTACAATTTTGCGAGGCTAGAACTTCAATCACTTGTCCGGAGCCCCACATGCCAGGGATGCCTCATGAGTGGAATCTTTTCGAGCCACCAAAGGCCGAACACTATTGCGAACTACGGAGCAGCATATTATTCTTGCTATACTTACTATTAGTGTTTTGGCTACAACTACTACTACTACTGCTACAACTAATATTGTATTATTATTCTTACTACAGTTCAAGGCGAAAGTACGGCAATTTCAAGATGCCTCTCCAAATTTGAAGCAGCTCAGGATACAGAGATGGTCGAACCGTCATCGTGGATGACTACTACCAAGGCTTGTTGTGTGTGGTTTGTGCATCATTTCTTCATGTCAGGCTGTGTGTAGAGCCTCGCGTAAATGCAGGACTTCGTTTGTTACTGAGCAGGCGCACGTATGGGTCGTTTGTAACATGCTTGCGCATCTTGAGGGCGGAACGTGACATCGAATGTGCATGCTGTAGCAGGTCGACAGCCGCAATGGTCTGACAGAAGCTATCCCAATTTGAACGCGCTTGCAGTGAATCATTCCATTTTATGCGAACTAACTGAACAAACCAAAGCTACCTCCGCACCAAACCAGAAAGCGGAGCCCGAAGCTCATCAGACAAAAGGCTTGGAATCCCCAATCCCAAGCCACTTCTGCTTGTCAGACGGTGGCCTTTGGCTTGGGCTCTGACAGGCTACCTTTGGATCGACAAGAACACACCCGCAGATGCTAGGGTGACGTTGCCGCAATCCCAATCAGCTTGTAGTCCCTGTAGTCACTGATTGCATCCCCTTCGATTATGTCAAGGTCCTTGCTGGAGTTGTGTATTCCTGCTTTAGGAAGCCTGTTGACTCGAAATGGGTCTTGCAATCATTTTTTTTGCAGATCGTAGCGGCTAACCCAAAGTTAAGCATTCGCTGGGCTCAACGTTTTGGCTAGCTAGTCAGCTTTGCCCTCATACTGACTGTGCTGCTACTTTTTTTTAAATGTGCATGCACATAAAAAAGTAGCAGCACAATGTCCAGATTAATCCCTGACTCGTCAGGTTCTGGCTTGGTGGGACTATGGCTACCAGATAACTGGCATTGCGAAGCGCACTTCTGTCGCGGACGGCAATACGTGGAACCATGAGCACATAGAAGCTGGGCTATGGACCTGCTTGAGGTGCAAGTATCCCATTTCGTCAAAAAATCTTAGCGCCTGGTTGTGTCCGGCAAAACCCATACAGTGGCGGCCCTGAACTCCTCATCAAGCTCCACTCGTACCTACCCAAGGCAACAATTGGCCGCATCTTGTCCAATCCGGTGAAGAAGTCGCACAATATCATGTGCCTGAGCAGCACATGCGGGATCAGTTGGTTTCAAAGGTATTTATCGAACCTGCTCTCGGACATCACAGAAATTTAGACAAGAACAACAGGCAGCGCTACTACTCAGGGGGGACAAAACAGGGCCCGGCTCACAGGAAGCGGGCACGTGGAACCCTCATTGGCTCGGCATCCGTGCAGATTTGATGTTGGAAGAATATAGTGTGTTCCTTGACCGCCAGGATTGGAACTGGGAATTCTACATGATCAACGAACTCCAGCACCCAAAGCTTCTGCAACACTCAGCCGTGACGCTGAACCTTAAACACGAAGCACGCAGGTTGAGCCTTAAGCTGTATGTCCGCAGAACACCAAGCCCCAAGAATTTAAAGCTGCAGAGGCGGCACTTAGCCGATTACGTGCTCGTTTGGGCTGGCGAACGGGAGACCGACCTGAGGCCATATCCGCGTAGCATGGGATGTCCTGGCCTGAAGGTTTTGTTGAAGGTGGAGGTCAATGAACCTGTTGTGATTTGTAACTCGAGTTTTGTGAGATGGTTTCGGGGCAGTGCCCTGCAAGAGCCGCGGGAGCTCGTTCATCTAGTAGCCTGATCTGTATTTTTAAGCCTCATGTCAGGTTTGTTGCAGGTACGGCTGCGATTTTTGTGAGCAAGTTGCAGCAGCGGCACCCCACAGGCCAGGCCTCATAGCGACAAGTCCGCAGCACCCCGCGGCTTGCTCTGCTGCAGGATCTCCACCCACTTTGCGCGTATCGGGTCGCTTGGACATGGACCATTGGATGTTCATTCTTCGATTCGATGTGGCATGGAAGTTGCCACGCCAACCCTGCGAGCTCAACCCCAGAACAAGCCTGTTGTCTCACCTGATTACAAGTCCACACTTGTGAGATGTAGATTGCATGCAGTTTTGTCGAGTTGCAACTCCGCGTATGTCAAACATCTCGTCACAACGAGGATTCTGATATCGGATCCCAACTCCGGGATGTACCCCACAGACTGCCGAGAATTTGAGGATTTTGTGAGGCATGCGCTTGCTAGCTTGAAAATTTGGGGTCGATTACGGGATGCGCGTTCATTTCGAAATGAAAGGTGGTCTTCGCATGTTACTACATCATTGCTACTCTGTTGTTTTGCTTTGGTAAGAACGGGCTGTCCCTGGGTCATCTTGCTTTGGAGTCAGTCAATCTGATGTTGTACTGTGCGTGGGCTCAATCTACACTAGCCCAAGTCTTTTGCCGTGTAGTTGCTTGAGGTCCTTCCCAACGCGTACGAAGAGAATTGGCCTTCCTACTAGAGTGCTCCAAATCCTCTTCCAGCAGGATTGTAAGCTTGCTTGTCTGGGCGGAGCTTTAAGTGCATAGTAAGCCGAGCCCCAAAAGACTTCATAGCTGCTTGTGACCACGGTGCATGGCCTCTAACAAAAATATATGTCCTGAAGCCATGGCAGCCAAGGAATTCTGTGTTCCCAGACATCTGCGGGCCGCGGGATCCCACATGCAGTGCTTCGCCAAGGGACTTCGGAATGTACTAGGTAAAGAAATAACCAGGACAGCCACATTCGCAGCTTCACGCATCCACCTCTCTTTAGGTAGGATGTCCAGTGTTCAGGTTTAAGGTCTGCAGGCTTTTGTTATCCCAAAGAATTCAAGCAGGAACCCTCTCAAGGCCATCCTGAAATTGACCCTAAAGCATCAGGTAAGTATGCTGCGTATCCGGAGCCGACCCCAATGATGCGAGAGCTCCCTGGCCTTGAAGTCAAGGGTCCTTTTCCAGGTAAGAGCTTCCAAAAAGATGGCAGCCGCGCTCCCGACACATTTTCTGAACCTACAGCTTTCATATGCTTTCAGCTTTTTTCTCGTTTGTCGCGGGGTCCTTGGGTAGTGTATGATTTGAACTTCAATGACCCCTCCTGAAGGCAAGTGGTTGAAGGTTGAGCAGGGTCATGCAAGCCCCCACACACGTACATGACTTCGGTCTCAAGCCAAAGGCTGCGAACTGCTCTTGCCCGAGGTCCTTTGTTTACAACGCCGTGAAGCATAAGCTTCTGCCTGGCGTTGAGTTGAATCCAAAGCTCTTCAAGGACTCTGACACTGGAAGTCCTGCTTTTCGGGTGCAGGTTCGGGGTCGGGAAGTTGCGGCATCTTGACGTGGGCAGCATTTGCAATAGCTACGTAACATGGTAAGATCGAGAGTTCCATTTGATGTGGTGCCGGCAAGTCCACCTCACAGCGCTGCAGGTCATCAACCTTAGAGTTTGGGTCTTGTATGCACGTGTGGACTCTTCTTTGAGCATTTGATGGTGTTTGATGGGCTTATTGGCGTGCAAAAAATTGGTGCGCGCCGCTAGCCCAAGTACATGCTTTGGAAGGAAGTACACACGACCAAGCATGGGCTGATGCGGATATACCAGGCGGGTCCTCGGGCGCGCTTCCAATTTGGAAACGGTTCCTGTTTACATTAAGGATTGAAAGTTTTGGAGTGTAGATCAGCGAACTCTGGTGTTGGCGGAAGATCCCAAGTCCGATTACTCGCCTGACACACTTCGCTGTATCAGCCGGGTGACCCGACAAACTTTCAGGGGCCCATGGATGGAAGCTTTCAGACCTCTCAAAAATCAGACATTTGGAGTTGCCCAGAAGCAGAAACTTTACTGACAAAGCTGAACTCTTTAGGATGTTGCTCTCTCAAAGCCCTGGCAGCGATGCGGGCTGGCAGGTATTGAATGTGTCGCAAGAGTCCAAAGACTGGGTGGCAGACCCTGCCAACCGCGCCATGGCAAGCCAAGGGAAGTTGGAGCCGGGCCTGAGTTTGGGTGAAGGTTTGGAAGGCTCTACTGTGTAAGCAGCAAACATCAGCGGTAGCACGTGCACCTGCATCCCTCTGCATGTCTTATCTATATTGGAGAGCCTTACACTCCACAGATGCAACCTGTGTGCTGGTTTGTGACGGCTTGATACTAGTAGCCCCGTCATGCCGTAAATCCGAAAACCAAATTGTACGGAACCCTGCCACTTGTTGGAATTCCAGAAATGCTCGTACCTTTATGAGCCCAAGATTCCAGACTTGCAGCTGAAGCTCGGAAAGCGACAATCTCCCTGCATGTTCCCAACCCCACCCATACAGCCAAGACCCAAGCCCGCCAGTTCCAAGCGGCCGAAGGTATTTGCGACGCTCCAGGTAGCTGGTACTGCGTTGGGCAGTAGCCCAGCTTGAATTACATCGCCTCGGACACGTACTAGTTACTAGTGCTGCCGTTATGGTTTTCTGATCTCCACACCATGTTGGGCACGTTCCTGCCTTCACTCAATTACTAAGTATAATCGGAGCTGCAGCCAACCAAGGTACCCGCCAGCATTGAAGAAACTCATCGCCAAGCGGAAGAATTTCTCGCAACTGGAGGAGCCGCTCGAAACTTGTGCCTGTGCAAGATGTGGGGAGATCCCTGCAGAAGCGCATCGCAGCTCTTGTAAGTTTCAGCTGCGGGTTCTCCATGCAAAGGAGGGTTGACAAAAATGCGAAGCACTTGTGGGCCTGAAGCCTTGGGATTGTGCTCCAAAAGATTCAGGAGTGTGTCTTTGCAGCTTACGTTCCGTGACCTGGCAGCCAGGATTTCAACCGCAAGGGATCGGAAAAGAGCGACTACACGCGCCTTATTGAGATCCCTGGCTTGGATTGTGTGTTTCAGGTTTCGTGGCGACTTTTCAGTGCAAGTGCCAAGCTCGGAAACCGATCTGTTGGCGGAGATTTGCAGCTCGCTGCTAAGGGCAATGGGGTAAAATGCCTGCAGCTACACAGGCCCTCCCCAAGACACGATCCTGAAACCAAGGAAGCAGCAAGCCGAAACCGGGCGAGATGCTGACCTGTGAGTCCACAGGGTTCTAGGCCTTGCCTTCCTTGTTCTGAATGTAGAGTCCTAAGGTCTATCTCGTTGTCGGGTTTGGGCTTGGAGGTTTGAGAAGTGTTTACGGTAGACGCTTACAACGTTTGGGACACTTGTGCGATGGAGGCGATTTCGTTGAAAGGCCAGCCTTGCCATCTACAACCCGTTTCGATTACTACCAACAGAGGCCTAAAAAACCCAACTAAACCCTCAACCCTGCCTCCTCCACACCTTCACTAGAGGGAGCAGAGCGACCTCAGCGTGCGTGGAAAAGATGTGAGCGACGTGTCACGGTGTTAGTTGTGGAAGTTGGGTCTTCGTGAGTTGGGGCCCTGCATTCTGGATGCCTTGAAGCCAAGGAGACCTTCTGTTCAGTCTGGTTTGTGGAATGGACGCCCTTGTTACTTCCGATGAACTAACCATTGAGCCAATGGTTTGCAAAGTTAGACACGGACTTCAAAGCGACAGCTTGAAATCCTGAAGGATGAACTTGAAATGATGAGATGATGAGTCCATGCACCAGAAACCTGAACCCCAAGCCGCAAAGCCCAGATTCTCAAAGCAGCTACGTATCTTGATACCCTTGACAGCATGTGTAACGACCAGGAGTCGTGCCATGCTTGTTTGCGGCCCAGCTACGATGAGGCCCTGCGGTGAGTGGGCTTTCAAGTTCTTTCAGTCGTCATGGGGCTACATGTGTCCCGAACAGGTTCACTCGTTAGATGGTTAGGGCTCAGCAGCCACGTCTGTCTGCACATGGCGCTCTGAACCTCCACGCCTCAGACCTCCACGACCCGTCTCATGGTCGCTCACCTTTGCCGAACCACTGGTGAGTAAAGCCATAGAAGGATCCAGTATCCATGAATCTTAGCCACCGTCAAGCTGTCCGAATAGGTGCGGACGAGGCGGTTCTACGACTGGCATAACTGCAATCCAATCAAGGCAGGGGGTCTCAGGGTTGGAAGATGAGTAGTTAGTGGGTTATCAGTTATCAGGATACTGTCAAGGCTTGCCGATCTTGCAACCACCACTGCAACTCGCCATTGCCTGAAAGTTTGGACATCTTGAGTATAGCTGTAGAAATACAAAAAGTGTCTGAACGCGGAGCACTGTCGTGTCAGGGCCTACTTGCGAGTCAGACTAGGTTCAGGGTGCCCCATTTCCGCAATTGCTCGAACATAGCAAGGGCAAATTGGCAAACCTCCAGGTAATCCTTTCTAGAGCCATGAAGGTGGCTGTGCTTGGCTTAAAAGTTTGCGTCAAATGAGCCTTCAGCACAGTTAGCGCTTAGAACCTGCTGCAGAAGCCCGTGAGCATGAACACTTGCTGCGAATGACATATCTGCAGCGGTGCTTCGCATTGTCATGGTCCTTACTACTTGTACGTACTTTTGCTGCACTTGCTGAATGAGCCGAACGAGCACCAGAATGGTGCTTATTCAAATCTTGGCGGGCTTCAGGGTTATGAGTATGAGTTGCCGACATCTAGATCACTGTGGTCTACCAGGATATAATAGTAACTTAATTAACAATCGCCAGTGAACTGTGCACTTTGATGAAGAGTTGTTGGTTTTGCATCATGTTTCAATCCATGCTGCTAGGATCTACTCTGAACCGTGTTGCCAGGTTCTGTTGTCGCATTGCCTTGATAGACAGAGCCCAATCCCGCCATTCGAAGTCGGGAAGGCAGGACTTGATTCCCGTGAACGGTGGGCATGGTTTTAGATGATGAGCTCTCCAGGCCAGTGGTGCATCTAGTTCTCTCTTGCCAGAAGATAGAATCTAAGAAGGGCTGATGCATATCCAGCCCTACTTATTGCCTTGCCAGCGCAGACCTGGGGACTTGAGCGTAGAGCGCAAAACGCAACACCATCTACAAGCTGCAAGCTTCCAAGCCTGAAGCTTTCAAGCCAAAGTTAATAACGTAAGCAAGCAAACACGTGACCTTCTACCTGTGTATTGTGGCAGGAATATTTGCAGGAGAATTCTGCAGAGTGGAAAGACCGATCGGAGAAGGCAGAGTGCACTGCTGGCCACCAGAAAGATGTGAAAGCTTCAGCTAGAGAACCAGCCACCTGTGTTTGACTGCAGAAGGTCTGTCTGGAGTTTTTCTAGCTCTTCTGCTTGCAGTTCATTTTATCATTCCCATTTACATTTTCCAGCCTTTGCTGCGCTTTTTGGTAAGGGTCGACCATGACAAGCGCAACCTCCTCTCCAAAAGCCCATTTCCCATCAGTTGCGGCGTCTGCCCGGAGAGATCTGGACGCTTCCCTCGGAGCAGGCTGCAGGGCTGCAATACAGCCGATCTAGCTAGCGGGTATTGTAGTGTGTGTTATTGCTATGAAAGTATCATAGGGCCTGATGACAGGGTATCTAGGCCTAGGCTTTTCAGGGACTTCAGAAGGGCAACATTCATCATTGTTTTGAAGACTTGCTTTTGTGGGCCAAGGGTATCAGGATGTACAGCAAAAGCCTGGATGGACAGCAACGCCCACGTCAATCTTCAGAACTGTACCAGCTATTTCCACTAGCGACAGTCAATTTACGAGAACTAGCCAAGGCAGTGAGCATCCATTCTGGCTTGCGCTCCCTGAAACCCTTGCGGCACCGTGCACTGAATGCAGAGCAGATGAGATTCTTTTTGCCTTTGCTTTGAGAGAGTGGTTCAACAGAGGTTGGCCCACGCATTTAAAGCATGGGTTGGCACCCGCATTTCAAGCACGCGTCAAGAGACGTCTAGCTTTGGAACCAGGTGCGACTATCCAACCAAATAGCCAAAGTTTCCTGATCCTGACCCGGCACCGCAATACCATCTATGCATGCCCGCATGCAGTGCCAGAGCATCATTCACCAATACTGCATAATACGACCATGGCTCCCCAACTTTCCCCTTCCCAAACCACAAACGCCAATATGTAGTACTGTCCATTTTCTTTTCCATCAACCCAATATAGCCCTAAACCCTAAACCCTATACAACCCGCATTATAGTAGTTTCCATTTTCTCTTCCGCTTTCCCCTATCGCTTCTTCAAGCCCGGCAGGGTGATGAAGAGCTCTGTCCTCTGATGGTTCCCGAGGCCTGCCGGGAACAAGGCTGTTTTTGCAGGACTGCCATATTATACATTGGGGATATATTGGGGCTATATTGGGGCTATATTGGGATAATGGCAAAGAAAATGGAAACTACTGTAGTATACTGAGGTTATATAGGGATAATGGACAAGAAAATAGAAGCTACTACTTAGGGTTTAGGGTATAGGGTTTATTGCCCAACACTCGGGATCGTCTTGGATCATCCTTGCTCATGGAGCATTTATCAAGTCAGTGGTGAGCATGCGGTCACCACAGTGGTGCTGTGAGGTGAGATTGAGATAAGGCCTTTATGTAACCTCACAGCACTCAGTGGTCATCACATCCTCCTTTGAAGGCCTTTTACGCAAATGTATCAATCTGCCATAGAGAGGTGGAAGATCTGTTGCAGCGACCGATGGACTGGTTTGGCCGTGGTGCTTAGAGCGGGATGCGTACATGTGGGATGCAATGGGCAGCGCCATTAACACGTGGACAGGTGCTCTTTTTGGCCCCCCGAAGACTTCACAGCAGCAGTGATTGTGATAGCAGCGTCATGAGTGTCGTTTCGCGTACCAGTGCTGCAGCTGCTGTTGTCTCTGCTTCTACAGAAGTAGTGAGAATGACAATGCTCCAAAGATGTACACCTTTCAACCAGTCAAAGTGTGCATGAAGTTAAAATTGTCCAGCTGACACCTTGTTGGTCGCCGGCAAGAGACACTCAGCTCCCAAGGGCAAGTTATGGCCCCAGCACGCTGCTGACCAGGCCAGGCGTTATAACCACATCCCAAGGATCCTTGACATGTTTTACAAACTCGAGTAAGACCTGCTGCATCAGCAGTCATCAACAAAGAATAGGGAAACGAATCCATGGGCAATACACTTCAAAAGCCCTATGGCCGAGAAGGCCCACAACAACAAAGTCAAGAACGGGACGAGCTGGCAAGCCTGAGAAAAACCAAAAGAGACAAACGCCACAACAGCAACATATCTGAATAGGCAAAGTACATGAATGTTGTCGTTGCATGGGCCCCTGCATGGGAACCCTACAAACCCAGATCAACAAGGGAGCTTCACCTTGACATCCAGCAATGTCTGCAGAAGCATTACGCAGCAATGACATGCGCAAGTGCTCACCATCCAAGCCTGCAATTCTTAAAGCCATTCGGAGCCCATGGTTTTAGTGCCCAGTCTGTTTTCTAATTTGCTGGGGGTTCTCAAGTGATTGATCAATCTTGTTTTGGGAACCTTCTACATCTCATGTAAGTTTACATTGTTATCTCAAAAGGCCATTGTGCTGAGGTCAGCTGACCCGGAGCATGAGCAACTTCGGGCCCAAGAGATCAGGCAACGCATGGGAGTGAATACTGGCCCGAAGCCTTACACCCTTAGCCTCTAGGTTACTCTAATGGGTATATATATATAGTCATTAATCTGGTTTCCCCAGTAGTAACTTGAATTAAGTTCCTTAGCGCGGTTAAGGGTTTAGGGTTGCGGTTCAGACTCTTAATAGGGTTAGTTGTCTGCATAGGACTGAGCATTCTTGTCCTAGGATTGAGGGCTTGGGGATGGCACAGTTCGTTCGAGGGTTTAAGAGAGTTGTTTGGGGCTTTGGCGATAATTGTTATCCATACACCCTCAAGTTCAAGAAGTGAGTTCTGCCAATTGAGTTCTGCCCAATATAGGATTTCATTTTTTTGTTGTTTTCTTGGGCAGCAAACGCTTAGTTAGGATGATTTGCTATCATGGGCTTTAGCTGGGATGTTATTTGGGAGGGCGCTTTCCTTTTTGTCCTTCCATGTTTTTGTTTTTGGTAGGACCCTAGGAAGGAAGCAAGGAAGGAAGGAAGAAATGAAGCCTGGAGGAAGCTGGAAGGGGGGAGGGACGGAAGGAACTGCGAGCCTTTGTGTTTGCAAA